ACTCTTTCCTCTCATTTTCTGTAAAGAAAAAAAGATCTTTGATTTTCTTGAGGGACACTAGAGAAATGGCAAAATAAGATGCATTCTCATCAGATGAGTCATGAGAAAATTGCAGACATGCTGGGAGGTAATGGCAAAATACTCTTGAAAATTTCCAAGCACTTTTTTCAAATGAAATGGAAGAAAATTCAGTCTTCCTTCCTTCTAATTACAGCTAAAGACATGTATGCATATATATTTTATCCAACAATGCCATTAGGCTTATCCCTCCTGAAGAAGAGGAGGCCAGACGTAAAGCCTTACAGTTCTAGAAAGCTGTTTTCTGGAATAAAAACAGAATGGAGTTTTCATATTTCTGTAGAATAAGATGGTGGGAACTGTAACTTATAAAATGGTAGTATTCTTTCCTCTGTTAATGTATTACCCCATTTCCGTTGCTTACGATATCCTGTGAAGGTATTGTTACAATACGTAGCTCAGGCCCAGCCACTGTGGGCATAGGGAATGCAAGTGTCCTGCAAGGCAGGAGGCCGTAAGGTTGACCATGAGACACACAGGCATGGCAGTGGGTGCCTGTTCTCCTGAGAAGCTGGAGGACTGGGGAAAGAAGATCATGCTATGATGAGGTCACGTGAAGGGTGCTTCTCTTTCTTTCTCTTTCTCTCCCCCCCCCTTTCTCTTGCATACATGTGCCCTCCAGCTATTAAAGAAGGTGTAGTGCAGACAGAACCTTCATTTATGTCAGGGACTGTGCTCACTTGTAGGAAATAATTGTTTTTAAGTACATTTGTTTTTGGAGAGATCCTTTATTGGTATTTTCATATTTATAGTATACATCTTAGAAACAGCATGTAATTATCTTGCTTTTTATCCAATCTGATTTGTGGGTTTTTTTAGACTTATATATGTAATTTTATTTATTATTATTATTAAAAGTTTGACCAGAGAGAGAAGGAAAGTGAAAAAGCAAACCACCAAGTTAGGGACTTGAACTGCAGTCAGCCATTGGAAATTCAGTGCCTTAACCACCATGCCACCTACTGGCCCCCCAAATATTTTTTTCCCTACTTCTGCTTACTCACTGAAGCCAGTGCCTGCTCTCGTATGTAGCATTTGTAAGTTCCCTTGAGGGGCTAAACTTTGTGATTATATTCAAGGTCTTGGGCTTGCTGTGAGCACAGGGTTTCAAAGGGCAAGGCCTCTCTAAGCTCTGCTCAGGGTTTTGGGAACCAGAAACCCGTGTTGTGTTGTTCGTTCCCGAGGACTCCTGCTTTCTCTCCAATGCTTTCCAAGCCCCTGCTGGACCCTGGCACGACTTTGGTATAGTTAATAGAAGCTCTTGGGAGCGTATGTGTTCTGTGTTTCTCTTTGTAGTTTAATGTCCAGAATAAATCACAGAGAACTGAAGTTGGTTTATATGTCTCTTATTTTGAATTCACGGCAGAGTTCCTGCAGGGCAGGTTACAGGATCAAGGCTGCCCATGAATCATTTTGCCTTTTCCTAGGGAAGTCTGTTCAAATACCTGCCTCTGGAGCACCAATAATAAATGTGCTTTAAAAACACTCCCCACCCTCTTTAGTTCAATTATGGAGAATCCAATTTATCCCCATTCTCTAAGGCATTTACTAGAAGAAAGAGTCCTTGGGCATTATTCTATGTAATTAGATTTTTGCACCTCTGGGTTGCGAATTGGGATTTCTGATTTCTCTACCCTAAGGTGTACAGTGAAGGTGCTTAGCAACCCGAGACTGTAACTGATGTTATAATTCATTAAAACTTTTAAACTTTTATAATTTGGGAAGCTCTGGGGGACAGAAATAAGAGAACATATTGTACTTTATTTTGTACATAGTAAAATATTTTACTTTTAAGAGCTGTTTGTCATGTTTCCCCCCAAAATAACTTTCACTTGAAATCTCAACTGTTTCAAATAAACTGTGCAAAAGGCCTGTTTAAACTTCCCTTCACAGGTGGATTTGCTGCAGTTCCCAGGATATAGCCTTTTTGTCAACGTAAATTTATTATTGATTTTTAAATAATTATTTTAATTTAATTTATTATTATTATTTAAATGTTTCCAGAGAGAGAGAGAGAGAAAGCGAGAAAGCAAGCCACCGGGTCTGGGATTTGAACCACGGTAGGCCATGTAGGAGTCCAGTGCCCTTAACCACCACGCCACCTGCTGGCCCCAACATAAGTTTATTTTTAAAAAATTTCTGTATTTTTCTCCTACACAGTAACAATAAAAATGTAACATGTGAAAAAAAAATCATGATTTTTTTTTGTAATGCCATAGGAAAACCAAAGATGAAATATTAAGTAAATAAAACTGGATATAGAATATAAAATGTTAACTATTTTTAAAAATAATAGAAAGCATTAGGGCCAGTTCAATGGACTAGTGGTTGACGAAGGAGGACCCCACATGGCTGGCTGCAATTTGAATCCTGGTCCCAGTGGCTTGAAAGACATGATAGGTGTGTGCGTGCCCGAAATCTTGAAGGATGGGGAAATGGAAGAGAAAGAACTGTGGCACAATCACATCCATTGGGAGGTATTTTCTCCCTCTTTATCTCTCTGTCGTGTGTGTGTATTTATATATATGATTGATAGGAAATATAGCAGTAGGGTTTTTTTTTCCTCTTTTTTGTACTTTAGAGCTATTTTTCCAAAAGTAATTGAAATAGGGAGCAATTTGCATAGTATAGAGAAGATTTTAGACTATATCATGGTTATAAAGATACTTTGAATAGTAAGGAAACTAGAAATAATTTAATGTAAATAATATCTTTCAGCAAAGACTGTTGATAAACAAGAGATTTGAGCTAAGTTGCTTCAGGCTGGGAACTGATTTTAAAATACTTATCTAGGGCCAGCAGGTGGTGTGGAAGTTAAGGCAATGGACTCCCACATGGCTGACTCCATGGTTTGAGTCCTGGATCCAGCAACTTGAGACTCATGCTAGGTGCATGTGCGTGAGCGCCCAAAATCCCAGGAGGAGAATGGAGAAAAGGGATTGCAGCACAGCCATCCCCCTGGGGGTGATTTCTCACTTTCCCTCTCACTAGTTCTGTCTCTGTCTGGCCAGTGCACGTGCCCTATAGCAAAAACTAAATACACATATATATGTGTGTGTGTGTGTGTGTGTGTGTGTGTGTGTGTGTATGTGTATATGAAAAAAAGTAAAAGACTCTTATAAAGTGAGAAACTATACAAACCTTCAAGTTCTTTAGACTTCATATAAGTTTTACCTAAACCTGTGTATACTTCCTGTGTTTCCAGATTTGGTCAATAAATAAATAAATAAACTAACAAACTAGGAAAAAGATTTTATTTGTAAATAATTTCCCACACATAATTTCATGGACAAAATTAATTTTAAAATTCAAAAGGAATCAACCTGTCGGAGTGACTTTTTTGTAAACAAATATGAGTTGAGCTTTAAGAATCTTGAGTTTTTTTTAATAATATATGCTTAAGATGAAAACTGAACCACTCTCCTTTACTGGGGCATTGGCGTTTGTTTCATTACAATGCATTATAATTTGCTTTACTCTTGAATATTTACCCAGTCATTCCTTAATTCATTCAACAAATATTTACTGAGTATATAAATACATTATACCCTTGGAGGAGAGATAAGCTCTATTTAAACAGCTGTAGGAAAAGTGGTACAGTTTTCGGAAAATGGCAAAAGAAGGTGAGATTGTTTCCACCTGGGGAGATCAGAAAATCATCTTGGGTTGGGATTTATCTGGGCTTGAAGGGTCTGATAGTGGCTGGCAGAGAACTGTGGGTGAGAAAGGAGAGAAGGCATGGATGCACAGGGCCAGGGGTAACTTGGGTGGGAGAGGTGGGAAACAGAGACAGTTGGTCCAGATCCCAGGCCTTTGGTGCTAAGCTGAGGAGTTACTACCCAGGCAGTAGGGAGCCCCTGAAGGTAATTTTGAAGGTAGCAACATGGTCTAGCAGCAATGTGTTCAGTGCAACTTGGGAGGCCAGGACTCAGGAAACTGTGCTTCTGCTACTAAAGAGTTGTGCTGCTTATGGCTTTCTTTTGAAAAAATTTCCCAGAGGGTGCATGTGCTCACTGGAGAAAGAGAGAGAGAGAAAGAGAGAGAGAGAAAGAGAGAGAAAGAGAGAGCACTCTCTCCCTGTGGGGCATGGTCACACTGCAATAATTTCTCCTCCATATCTCCTCGTTTTGGAATTTTGAGCATGCATGCACGTACACTCGGTGTGTTTCTCAAGCTGCCAGGTCTGGGACTTGAACTGGTGGTCAGCAGTGCGGGATCCAGCCATCTTAACCACCAGGCTGACCCTCTTAAGACCTTTAAAAGGGTTCTCTAATACAGGTTGAGTTTTTCTATTCTGAAAATCCGAAATGCTCCAAAATCTTAAAAATTTTGAGCAAAGACCTGATGCCACAGTGTAAAATTCCACATCTGACCTCATATGGTGGGTTGCAGTCAAAATGCTGTAATGCAAAATATTGCATAAAAATTGCACTCAGGCTATGTGTATATGGTGTATGTATATGATGAATTTTGTGTTTAGACCTGGGTTCTGTCTCCAAGACAGTTCTCATTATGTTTATGAAAATATTCCAAACTTCAAGAAAATCCTAAATCCGAAACCATTTCTGCCTGTCCTCGGCAGAAGGGATTTGCAACCTGCAGCATCAGTGCCAAGAGTTGGTTCTGAAAGACACTCCGCATTCTCACAACTTGGCTGCTTCTACCAGCTTTCTGGAGTGGATCCAAGGTGCCCAGCTTGGAACTAGGCTCTCCTGTTCCATCCCATGAGCCCTGGACTCTGACCGCTTCCCAGAATCTGCCTCTGGTGCACACCAGGCAATAAACCTTCGGGATCTGGGCATCAGCCACGATCCCACTCCTCTCGTGCTGGTTTTTACTTTTCCGTTTCTGTTTTGCTAGTAAAGTTGTCTTGCTCTTCTGGAGTGCTGAGGTAGGGCAGATAGAGGGACTTTTACAATGTTGTTGAGAGATAATAAAAGTATACACACACATACACACACACACACACACACACACACACACACAGTCATTGCGAAAGTCACGATGCATTTTTGCACAGAAAAACACATTCTGGCTTTCCCAGTGACCTAATACGTATGTATACGAAATGCTGTGGCACTAGCAGTGACAGGATCTGATGGTCGCACACGGGAGTGGGGGAGGAGGCGAACGAGCCCGTAGAGATTACATGGCTGGGAGAGGGCCAGTGGGTGCTTCTCATATTGTAACAGAATTAGACCGAAGCTAAGTGATGTGGACAGAGCGGGCAGAGAGGCTTCTGTTGACTTCGGTGAGCCCCGAAGGGCGTGATAAGCAGTCTGGGCGGGGGAATTGCACCAGCGTGGCGCCCAGCGCGAGTGGTGATCATCGAGTGGGATCAGAAGAAACGCGCCTGTGCCCCGAATGCTGATACACCGAAGTGTGGAGGAGCCCTCCCATTGGCTTCAGTCTCTCTCTTTTTTAAAATTTATTTTTATTTTTTATATTCGTTTGTTTTTATTGCTGGAGGGCATGTGTGTTTGTCAGAGAGAGAGAGAGAGAGTGTGTGTGAAAGGGGCACGATCACACCGCAGCCCCCCTCCTCCACTTCCCCTTCCCTTCAGGCTGCACACTTGCTTAGTGTGTGTCTCCAGCCGCCAGGGCCAGGACGTGGGTGCCACGTGGGACCCAGCTCTCTGTGCCCAGCACTGCTGCGCTATGGGGCTGGCCCTTGTTTCCATCTTTTTACTCCTGAGTAACATCCTTTCAGTGGAGGACTTGGCACTGTATTTTATAAACAATTAAGGAAAAAAACATTTTTTTGACTGTCCTAAATTGTTTACTAGATATGAATTTTACAAACATTTCTTAGATCAGCGGTGACGGTGGAGCTGGAGAGTATTGCACCCTCTCTGAGCTGCACAGGCGAGAGCCACCAACAGTGTGGTGGAACTTGTGCCCTTTCCAAGGCCTCTGCTCTTGCGGCCTGCCGATGTCAACCCACGCATCTCCCTGTGCTTGTGGCCTGGCTTGTGATCCACTGGTGTCAGAGTTTCTTCTGATAGCTTTATGGAATGGATCAATGAGGATAACCTCCAAGAGTTTGTATGTGGCATCTTCACCCACTCAGTAAGAGTTCAGGACTCTCAGAGCCCCACAGTGGCGTCCAGCTCGCTCCTCTGCAACAGACTGGAGGCTTGGGCAAACTTGAGCTGGTTAACACCGTGATGGACAGGCTTGCCATAGGCTGCACCCTTGCGGACTGGGCGTTTGCAGCTTCCACCCTGCACAGGAATCCTGCCTCGCCTTGTAGCCTAGTCTGCGCTCTTTATCCGGCCGGGTGGGGCGGGGCCGGTGCAGGCCTAGAGCTGGCGGAACTGCCAGCAGCGGACCCGCAGGAGAAAGCGCATCACGTAGGACTGCTGCTTCCGCCACAGCTCCTGGATGTACTTGTACGCCCCCGTGTTGGTTTACCTGATGGCTGCCGCCAGACAGAAAGGAAGGAAAAGAAATTTGACACTAAATATGGAGACAGGCAAATGAAGGAAAATCAGTGCTCAAGAATCTTGAAAACTGTGGAAAACAAGCAAGTTCCAACTGAAGTTACTTTTTATTTTATATTTTTTTTTAGGGAGAGATTTTTTTTGCTGTGGTGTACATCCGCTCGCTGGAGAGACAGAGATAGGAAACAAGAAATCACCTCCCCAGGGGGAATGGCCACACTGCAGTCCCTACTCCTCCATTCTCCTCTTGGGATTTGGGGCACACATACACATGTGCCCTGTGTGAGTTTTAAGCTTCCAGTCTGGGACTCGAACTGCGGTTGACTATGTGGTTCAAGCGATGTAACCATTATGCCATCTGCTGGTCCCCCAACTGAGGTTATCTTATGTGGTGCCTGTGGACTGACCCACTTACGTGAATGTTTTCATGGTGGAATATTAAGTAAGAGTCACAGTTTATTGATCGACTAATGGGTATCTAGCATGTTCCAGTGTCCACTGTTTTATCTGCAAGTATTTCATTTACCCTTACAGAGCCCTGGGAGATGAGTATCTTCTTATCCTCATTCGACAGGCGAGAAAACTGAGGTTCAAAGAGAGAGACTCAATGTAACGTCCCCACTAAATTTATTCATTTATTTATTTATTTATTTACTTATTTCTTTATATGCTATATAGGGCATGTGTGCTTGCTAGAGAGAAACACACAGAGAGAAAGAGGGAAAGCGAGAAATCATCCCCTAAGGGGATGGCCAGGCCACGGTCCCTTCTCCGTTCTCCTCTTGGGACTTTGGGCATGCATGCATGTACATGCATGCTTGGTGTGTTTTTAAAGCTGCCAGATCTGAGACTTGAATCATGCAGTAAGCCGTGTGGGATCCAGCTGCCTTAACTACCGCACGACTTGGCTGACCCTAACTTATGCTGTTTTGGGGGGCTAGCTCTTTAATGCTGACGTTGGGATGCACTGAAGCCTCTCCTGCAGAAACATCTGGGGGAATGTCGGTATGTGTATTTCGAGCCTGCAGTGGGTGTTGTGTGTGCAGCGGGCACAGTGGCCCCAGTTCAGGAATTACAGTAGAGGTTCAGGAGACACAGTCAGTAGCAGAGTAGACCGCAGTGCTGGAAGCCACAGAGCCAGCCAAGGGGTTGGATCCCTGGATTGCCTTGAAAACCATGTCGGGCATGCTCATGCCCCAGATCCTGAGGAGCTGGGAAAGGGGATCGTGGCATGATGGGACCCTGCTGAGGGTCTCTCTCTCTCTCTCACATAAATAAAATAATTAAGTTAAAAAAAAGGGTTACACTAGACAGCCTGGCTTGTGGCTTCTTCTTGATTCTTTAGCTGGGCTACAGTCCTTCTACTGTATGGCTGAGGGGCTCCCTTATCATTCATTGTCATCATCGTTTTAGTGTCTGTCGCTTGCAGACCACTCTCCGTGTGCCAGCTACAGGGCTGGGAGTTCGCTGCGTCCTTTCACGCATTCATTATAGTGACCCTGTGAGGTTGCTGCTCCTGTCTTCATTTTACATGTGAACAGAAAGAAAAAAGGACTCACATGAGCACCCACAACTATAAATGGCAGAGAGGAGACTCAAACCCAGGTCGATTTGACTCTGGAGTTAGTCTGTCTTTCCTTTTTTAAAAATATTTATTTCATTTAATGTATTATTATTATTATTATTATATTTGCTATAGGGCATGTGCGCTCACCAGAGAGAGAAAGTGAGCCGCCGGGTTCAGGACTCACACACGCAATCGGCCATGTGGGAGTGCAACACTTTATCCACCCTACTGCTTGCTGGCCCCATGGAGTCCGTCTTTCTAACTACAGTATGTGGCCCCAACACCAGACTTCACTGTGGCTCTCAAGGCCCCTACATTGGGTGCTCCTCTATTTGGGTTTACTTGGGAGTAGGGGAGAAGGGGTGAAACGAGTGCTGAGCTTTTGAGGGTACATGTGATAAAACCCAGATACGGGTGACTAGCCTTAGGTTCTTTTCCTCCTAGCACTTGTGTCGTCGCTAGCTGTTTATTCCCATTTTGAACTAGTCACCAGGTTAATTACCGAAGGAAGCTGTTGTCCCTTCTTCATAAATGCCACCGGCAGCTGCGTCCATGGTACCCGCCGTAGATGTTCCGATCACAGCAGCCTTTTTCCACACGTTGGAGTGGTGGCATCACAGTGGTGGCACGTCGGTAGAAGCAGAGCGTCCCTGGGGTGTGGGGGTTTGGTGAAGTGGCCAAATATTAGCTTCCAAAGCTTTGTAGAGCCCATCGTAAAATGACATCCACCGCCTTTCATTTCGATCCAAGTACTTGCAAGAGTGCAAAAATTAGCATCGGAAATTAACTGGCTGCTCTTCTGAGAGACCAACAATGGTTACTTGGACCTAAAGGGCAATTTTCATTAATCAGCTATGTTTCCATAAAGTGAGACACATTCTCATTGTGGGAATTCTCAAAGACGTCCCAGTCCTGTGTAAGAAAATTATAGACAAGGACATGGAATTTTATTACTTATGTCCTATATGAAAGCTAATAATGCAATAACCAATTAGATAGTTATAAAGCTTGACTGTATTAAAGTATTATGTAAATAGTGATTAAGAGTAATACCATAAACTCAGAGCGAGCAAAAGCATGCCCGATTTGAATTACTGGAGCTTTTATTTGCATTTCTACAGAATCTACTATTGGTGGATCTCAAAGGACCTTGCAAGTAATAATTATTAAAACCCATAAATACGACCAGTAAATGTCATTTTATTAAAGGAATATGAAAGAATTCTTTACTTCATGTGTAATATGAAGCCTAATTGCTAGAGTTAAAGCAATATTCTCCATATGGGAGAGTCTTCAAAAAGTTTGTGGAAAGCTCTTATTATGAAAAAAAGCATATGGGTTTGATTTTTTCCCCCAGAATAAACTCATACTCCTGTCTTCATTTTACATGTGAACAGAAAGAAAAAAGGACTCACATGAGCACCCACAACTATAAATGGCAGAGAGGAGACTCAAACCCAGGTCGATTTGACTCTGGAGTTAGTCTGTCTTTCCTTTTTTAAAAATATTTATTTCATTTAATGTATTATTATTATTATTATTATATTTGCTATAGGGCATGTGCGCTCACCAGAGAGAGAAAGTGAGCCGCCGGGTTCAGGACTCACACACGCAATCGGCCATGTGGGAGTGCAACACTTTATCCACCCTACTGCTTGCTGGCCCCATGGAGTCCGTCTTTCTAACTACAGTATGTGGCCCCAACACCAGACTTCACTGTGGCTCTCAAGGCCCCTACATTGGGTGCTCCTCTATTTGGGTTTACTTGGGAGTAGGGGAGAAGGGGTGAAACGAGTGCTGAGCTTTTGAGGGTACATGTGATAAAACCCAGATACGGGTGACTAGCCTTAGGTTCTTTTCCTCCTAGCACTTGTGTCGTCGCTAGCTGTTTATTCCCATTTTGAACTAGTCACCAGGTTAATTACCGAAGGAAGCTGTTGTCCCTTCTTCATAAATGCCACCGGCAGCTGCGTCCATGGTACCCGCCGTAGATGTTCCGATCACAGCAGCCTTTTTCCACACGTTGGAGTGGTGGCATCACAGTGGTGGCACGTCGGTAGAAGCAGAGCGTCCCTGGGGTGTGGGGGTTTGGTGAAGTGGCCAAATATTAGCTTCCAAAGCTTTGTAGAGCCCATCGTAAAATGACATCCACCGCCTTTCATTTCGATCCAAGTACTTGCAAGAGTGCAAAAATTAGCATCGGAAATTAACTGGCTGCTCTTCTGAGAGACCAACAATGGTTACTTGGACCTAAAGGGCAATTTTCATTAATCAGCTATGTTTCCATAAAGTGAGACACATTCTCATTGTGGGAATTCTCAAAGACGTCCCAGTCCTGTGTAAGAAAATTATAGACAAGGACATGGAATTTTATTACTTATGTCCTATATGAAAGCTAATAATGCAATAACCAATTAGATAGTTATAAAGCTTGACTGTATTAAAGTATTATGTAAATAGTGATTAAGAGTAATACCATAAACTCAGAGCGAGCAAAAGCATGCCCGATTTGAATTACTGGAGCTTTTATTTGCATTTCTACAGAATCTACTATTGGTGGATCTCAAAGGACCTTGCAAGTAATAATTATTAAAACCCATAAATACGACCAGTAAATGTCATTTTATTAAAGGAATATGAAAGAATTCTTTACTTCATGTGTAATATGAAGCCTAATTGCTAGAGTTAAAGCAATATTCTCCATATGGGAGAGTCTTCAAAAAGTTTGTGGAAAGCTCTTATTATGAAAAAAAGCATATGGGTTTGATTTTTTCCCCCAGAATAAACTCATACTTTAATTCCACTTTCCCATGAACTTTCTGAAGCTCGTTCATACACAGAGTGCTCGGACACTGGGTGTCTGGGGCCATGACTGTAATATAAGCATAGGAGCTGGCTATGGATTCAGGATTCTGCTATTGACAGTCTCAGTCTGTGTGGTTAGAACTATTCTCTTAGCTTTGAGATTTTACATGAGGGTCCAGCAGCTGGCATGGTGGTTAAGGCATTGTACTCCCACACGGCTGACCGCAGTTTGAGTCCTGGATTGGTGACTTGAAATTCATGCCGGGCATGTGTGCGTATATGCCCAAAATTCTGGAAGGAGAATGGAGGAGAAGGGATTGCGGTGTGGCCACCCCCCCTGGCCGTTTCTGTCTCTCCAGTGAGCACACATGCCCTGTAGCAAAAATCTTTAAAAAATTTTTTTTTTTTACATGAAAATAGCTCTAAACAAAACTTGGCCAGTATATTTCAGTATTTCTCTTCACTGCAATATTACATTTGAAAAACCAAGATCATACCAAGTTCACAAACATACAAACATATTTAAAAATATTTGTGCTGTTATGTCAGGTTGTTTTTTTCTCAGACTAATGCCTTATCCTGTGGTCTCAGCACAGTCATCGAAGCTTGCATTCCCGTCTACACTCACTTCTAAACCTGTAACAGGTTGTGAGGATTTCTAATCTGCTCCAGAAGAGTTCTTGGCCCTTCCTCCTCAATTTCTCCTTCTCCTCCCCTGCTTTGTAACTCCCGTCCCCTCCGAAGTTAAGCGCAGGTTGGAAAAACGCACGACTGTTTCCTGTGGCTCCCTCTCACTCCATTTCCTGACACTCAGCCGGATTTGCTCCTGTCTGAGATCAGGCTGTAACTCCTGGTCACTGGTCACTGGTCACTGGGACAGAGCAGCCCCCCTTCTCGCATAAGGACCAGCAGATGGTGTAATGATTATGTCACACACCGACGTAGTCAACTGCGGTTCGAATCCCAGACCTAGTGGCTTAAAAGTCATAAAGGGTATGTGAGTGTGTGTACCCGAAATTCTGAGAGGAGAATGGAGGAGGAGGGATTGCAGCGTGGCTATCCCACTAGTGGGATGATTTCTCGCTTTCTGTCTCTCTCTGTCTCTCTGACAAGTGCACGTACCCTGTAGCAAAAAAATCTCTCTTAAAAAGAAAGAGAAAAAAAGAAAAAACCCAGAAGCATAGAGGCCAGCATGGTAGTTAAGCCTCTGGACTCTCACATGGTCAATTATGATTCAAGTCCCAGACCTGGTGGCTTTAAACTCACACTGGGCACATATGTGTACGTGCACATGAGAAGGGATTGTGGTGTGGCCAGTCCCCCTGGAGAGTGACTTTTCACTTTCTCTCTGTCTCTCCAGTGAGCATACACACCCTGTGACAAAAATCTCTCAAAAACAAAACAAAACAAAAACAAACAAACAAAAAGCAAACCCAGTAGTGTAGATACAGAGCTAGAGGAAACGGTTTGTTAATTTGTTGGTCATCTAGAACTGTGGATCGCAGTTGTAGAAGTGGAGTCTCAGGACTTTGAAGAAAGGTGGAATGGCACACGTGCGGAGTTCTGAGTGGCCCCTGGGATTGCCGTTGGGTGGGAGGAGCTGAGTGGCCGGAGGTCGAGGGGGATAAAGCGCAAGTTCACATGGATAGGGCAGGCAGAAGAGTCGTCTCAGAAGGGTTTGCGAGAGGATTGAATTTATAGCAACGGCGATGGGTTATTGATGTAAGACGGAGAATTTTACCAGTTACCAAATGGTTGGTTCCTGGAGTCTCTCAGGATGATACCGGAAGGGGAGAGAGAGGTAAGGGTCAGCTATTAACGTTCTTAGTCAATACAGGCTCATAACAAATTCTTGGCAATTTTATTTGTTAGGGAGACTGGACAGATGTTTGAAGAATTGTGAAAATAGTGTCTGTCCTGTGAGAAAGGCTACATTTCAGAATTGGAATTTGTGTTTCTCCAGGGAAAACTGAGGCTGCTATCAAAAACTTCAGTCCCCACTACAGTCGTCAGTACTCTGTGGCCTTCTGTAACCACGTGCGCAGTGAAGTGGAGCAGCACAGAGACTTCACCTCGCAGTTGTTGAAGACCAAGGTAACCCGCAGACTTCTGGTTTCTGAATTTCTCCCACTCGACAAAGCTTTATAGCTCGCGATTCTGACATGAGCAATATTTGGAATGGCAGTTTTTTTTGTTTTTTTTTTAAAACCTGCTCTGGGGGCTGGCAGGTGGCCTGGTGGTTAAGGCACTGGATTCCCTCATGGCTGACCACTGTTTGAGTCCTGGACCTGGTAGCTTGTTTTCTCACTGCCCCTTTCTCTTTGGCAAAATTGAAAAAAAAAATAATAACAAAATTAAATAAGTAAATAATTCTTTTTAAAAAATCTGCTTTGTAATAATTTCTTACTCAAAAAACTCTATTTGCATGGAGGTTAGATGATATTTCTTGTTGATGAAGTAATTCATATAAAAAGGAAACTAGCACGATTCCAATTTTAGTATGTGTTTTACCCACATTGTAGCAGGAATTTGATGTATGGTAGTGAAGTTCAGTTTAAAAAGTCATCATTTCAGTGCCTTATTTGAGTCATAGAGCAAATAGGACTTTCTCTTTGAATCCCCTAATGTAGTCTTGCTGTTTTGTTCCATTATAATAATTCACCACAACTAAAAAAATATGTGCTAGGCCATCTTTCAGGAACTGGAGAATAAAACCAATTCTCGGCCTTCCTGGAGTTTATATTCAAATGTAGGAGACAGGAAATAGATTAAACAGGTGGATGCGAGATCTCAGGTCATTACACAGGCCACAAAGAAAGTAAGGCAAGAGTCTGCTTTCAGAGAGAGTGGGTGAGAAAGCCCTCCGCGGAGACGACGCTTGAGCAAAGCTGGACGGGAGTGCGAGCAGGCTGTGGGTGAATACCTGTGGGCAGATTCATCCGGGCAGATGGAACGGCAGGTGCAAAGGCCCTGCAGTGGAGGGAAGGCCAGTCTGCCGAGGGCAACGTGAGCAAGGACGGGTGAGCTCTGACGCAGAGACAGGGAGAGACCCAACCATGCAGACCTGCAGGCCACGAGAAGGGTTCTGATTTTGCTGTTTGTGTGATGGGTGGTCATTGGAGGGTGTGAAATACAGAGTGACATAAATTCTCTTCTCTTTTTTTTTTTAAAAAAAAGAGAGAGGGTTTTTTTTTTTTGTTTTTTTTTTTTTTTTTTTTTTT